TTTATCAAACATGACAAATCTCAGTCCAATTTTGAACGGAACGTTCAACAAAAACCTTTTTTATCGTCGGACACTGACTTTTTGTAAACCTGACTTTTTCGATTGCGTTATTCATATTCATCTGATCGGCTAATATTTGATTATAGACCGATTGAGTGCCATCTACGATGTCACTGTTGCCTATCCTGATCACATACCGTTCCCCGAGATTGACGTATTCGCGGGCAAAGTTCCTCAGGAGGTTCACTACCATGTGCGACGAATTTCGGCTTCTGAGTTACCCTGGGATTGTCCCGACGGTGCGTCAGGTGATCTGGACGAAAGACTAGCTGGCTGGCTCCGAGCCCAATGGATGGCCAAAGAAGCGTTTCTGAAAGAGTATTACGGTGAGTTCGGAGAAATTTTGTCTTTTCACGGACTGTGACATAGTGATTCCTCTGAATGGTTGTGTTTTTTTTAATGCTTTTAGTTTTGAAACCCTGCTAATTTTTTTCAGACGGTTATGTGATTTCTCACATCGGTCACAGGCTTTATTAGGCAAAGTGGCTAGTCTGTGCTGATGAGCACTGCATAGGAGGTTGTTCGAAATTCGGAGTTATTTTTACTGCTAACAAGCTATGGGTAATGTATTCACAAAATAAAAAAAAACAAATTGCTTTGCAACTGAGTGTATTTCTCGAAAACAGTCCGATTTGGGTTCAAGTAGATCATAAGGTTGACGGAAACTCGGGGACTGCGCATACCTGATGAGCCCCAAGAAGGGCGAAACCGGTCGTGGGCTGTCGGAGAATTTTCAGCAATCTTGTGAGTAGTTTCTTTTATGAAAAAAAAACACTCCTGTTCTGCTGGTCATCCATGCATGTTAAAGGTTTGAAAATGAGGTGCGGTCGTCATTGTGACCATCATCCTTTAGCGGGAACGTATCATTCCTTTATTCACACCGATACTCGCGAAATGCACTGATTTTCACGCCAGTTTAATTTTTACGAGAGACTGAATTGAATCTCAGCGGAATCCTTCGTTTTTTGTTTGGGTTCAAGCGGAACTTAAGGTTGACGGAACCTCTGCGACTGCGTCTACCTAATGAGCCCCAAGATAGGCTGAACCGGCTACCGAAGGGTTTTCAGCAACTTATCGAATAGTCCGATCCAGTAAACCGGATTGTTTATCTTCCTTTTCAAATAGCCCGCCCTGTGGAAGAACGCCGTTTCAAACACGAAGTTCAGGGTCAAAGCCAGGCGTTCCAACGGGACACAATCACAGATCAACTTCATCCAACCCTGCTTGGTCTTGCGAATGCAATTTTCTGGTTTATTTCACTTATAGTTTTTACTTATTACTTGTACATTTCTTGGATTGTTTTCTCTTTTGCCGTTCTAGTTCAAATCACTTTCGTATACCTATCAATATTTTCTGGTGGGATCAATTTCTGGGCTTCGAAACAACTCGGGGGCCCGTTACTTACTGGTCCTGTTCGAAGCCTATCGGAACGATCTGGTTAACACTACCTCGCATTCAAACACACCGACTATCTCTGATATTCCCAAAATGAGAGAACTTCCATTTTATTGTTACTCACCGGACAAAACTGGGACAAAATCCTTCAAACCCATTTGAGGTGCCCGAGCATTTTTGCCTTTTTGTTGCGGTTTTTCACTTTGAGCACAGTGTTTTTGCATTGCCTAACCTTCACCGTGCCACTCAACTTCGTGTTAATCCCAACATTTTTGGTTTCATCCATGGTCTTTCCCTCTCATTATTTGGGGATCATTTTTCGTTAAATTAGAAACAATTTTCTAGTGTTTACTCCGTGACCAACCTTCTTTCACCATAATCCCGCGACTAGAAGGTCGAATTTGACCACCGTTGCTTCGAGGTGTGCAAGATTGGTTGGCAACTCAAGAAATCTGCGAAGTTGACATTCTGTCACACGTTCCGTAGTATTTACCCTAGACAGTGAGAGAACAAATTATCGAATCCGTCATCTGCTCAGCCTTCACCGAAGCAATGCAAGGGCTGAGGTCCTGCCAGATTACCCAAGCCTAAACAAGAGCAGTCGAAATGCCGGAGTTGGGTTCGAACCACAGACCTCCTCGTTAGTATGCCATGATTTAAATACTGAACCATCTCGAGCTCCTCACCATGTCGACTAACCAAATACGAGTCAGCCGTAGACCCGCTTCACTGTCAGGACGACGTATTAATTAAACTTCCGAAACCTCATACTACTAACAACCGTAACTATTCCAAACTCCGATGGCACTGAAAAAATGTTTTCCTAATTGATTTTTTTGGCACGAACTAGAGGCGGGGATTGGGATAATAACCATGAGGTTTGACGTCTATCTGCCGGATGAATAGATGACGTTACTCTACCGTCAAAACTCATCTGGAGAATAATTTTTGTCAGCTCCTCTAAATTATTCGCCCGAATACATTCACGGTCTCTCGTAACAACATTAATTTCCCCATACTCCGTGGAGCTAAACTTAAATCGGTGGATTGTTTAATTCCTCGTGTAAAAAAGTCGCTATTTAAATACTAATTTATCTGGATGTTCACAAGGTAAGCAGTTATGGGAACTGCGAAGTGAGGTTTCAAGCACCTGTTTTTAGAAATATAACTCAATCTTTACCAAAGTGAGGAATTTGGGTGAGCATCTGGAGTATGTATCAATTCATATGCGTTTGGATCTTGCTACAATGCGGCAAAAGCGAGTGGTTCTATGTGTGCATTGCTTACAGGCATGGAATCGACGCACTGGGATAGGTGACCCCACCAATCAGCCGTTACATTGAGAAAACTGAACTAATGACTGAGGAAGACATCTAGTCAACTGCACGGACTGCAACAACTAAGTAGAGAGACTGGAGGACTTTCTTCAGGGTTAAATAGACGACAGCTATCGAAAGATACGACTCAGTGTCTTACATGAGCATCAGGAAAGTCTAGATAGCGTGAAGGTCATAGCACGCGGAAGTGAAAGAATCGAGAGGGAGTTCTTAGAAGCATGCTACTCTGCAAAGGATTCAATCAGCTGCCATACCGAAATGGACCGTGTCCACGCTAGTACTGCCAACTCAGTGGTAGCGCCGAGGCAGTACTGGCCATTAGACCAAGGGATTACGAAACAGGCTTACTGTGGAGGAAAACAGATATAGGTCACGGCTGGGGGGGGGGGGGGGGGGGGGCAAAATTACCCGGTCAGAGAGGTCACCACACAGAAATCGCTTGCTCGAACGATCAACGATCCGTTAAAGTCGACCTGGGTGAGTAGACCCTATGGGTAGACGGTGAACTCACAACAATCACGCAATTCCAACCCCAACCTACTGATGATGTCACCTCGAATGGCGACGAAACGTTTGCGACCAAACTGTCCAACTCAACGGAAAAAACCAATGGCCGTAGATAGATGACGCCGGGGATCTGGCTGCGACGAGCTGCGAAAATCCATTTTAGAAAGCTTTACAGCAAACTCATTGTGACCCATGGTAACAAATAATAACTGTATGCAAAATACATATTCAACAGTGAATGTGAACAACTCTGAATGGCGATATCGGAGGAAGATGTATTCTTTGGAATCGTGTCTCTTCGCACACCGTTTTTGCCTATAAATCAGCAGGGGATGTGTGGACGGTACTCAGACTGTGGAATTTCATGATTCCGACACAGGCCGGGGGACGATGATGTAGTGGGGGGCATTTTATCAAAGTGGCTTGATTCCGATTATTTTGACCTCCTTTCGCCCCGCTACCACAAATCTCTGTTGGTTGCTGTTTATAATGTGTTTGATCTGATAAGATCGCTACAGATGACGGATCCAGAATGCGTAGCTTACGGGTCCACATGGTGTGAGTGATGCTGGGCTCGATTGTTGCGCGTTTTTCGTTGGTTAACCTATCTGAATCCATCGATTCTAGCGTATCGACCACATTTCAATAATATGTGAGGGTGTTGATAGTCTCAGACGAGCAGGACCGTATTCGAACGTTTCCACCTAATGAGTTTTGGGCTGTAAAGAAGCCTGGAAGGCTAAACTGTTTTTGTAGAACAATCTCAGTTGGTGCGGTCAGACATAGTCAGCCGCTAAAAGACCATTCGTACCGCAAAGTCTTCTACAGCACGAATTAATCAATAACCGTTGTTGATTTGGGTGGTCGATCCACTTCGATACAAGTGTACACTCAAGAATTTGAAACAAATCAAAAGTAGCGGGCGGACTCTGAATTTATAAATTGTAACCGAGTGTCCCACCTGCTGTGCGTTTTGCTGTGTAGTTTAGCAATCTACCGTAGAAGTAGCTTCGCGCTGAATTGTGAATAAACTCTTACTGTCTGTCTGACTGTATCGCTTGTCCACCATTGTCGCAGAACGGAATACCGATGACGGTCGATTGTAAATGTTCTGGCAATCATTCCACTTTTTGGTACGCTCCTGCTCTGACGTCCTCGCTCCGTTTCGTGGGCGGTATGTGAAGGACAGTGGAACTGTTTTTGGCGGTAGTGGGGCCTGTTATATTGTCCGAGACTTGAGTGAATTTTGTACTCCTCCTGTTGAGGTTCATGAGTTGCACGTAACAGGCTGTGTTGAACTCACTGCCAACCAGACAGGCTAGTCTGCTGACCGTTGGAAAGAAGAAGGCCTCCGCTGCGGAGTTATTCATTAGAAATCACCAACTGAACAGTTACAGACTTTTGGGCAGGAAAGCAAAACTCTGCATCTTGTTTACAAAACTGAATATCCGTCTTCTTGAACGCGTTTTCCTAAACTTCACTGGATAGTAACTCAAATGTAAGCGAATGCTACAAAGCAACTCCACAAATTCCACTTTCCAATAGACGCAAAGTAGAGTTGCGAGAAACCACATTACTTGCATCCCTCATCAGTAGTATCCAACGTGTCACCGGATTGAAATAGGTTGTGGAACTCACGCACGCCACACACAGGCTGCAGTAGTCTCTCCCCGATAATGAGTTAGGTCATGGCGGTATCATTCTTGTTTTCTCATACCAGGATTTGAATGGCGCTTCCATTAGAGTTCATTATCAGTGCCTGTTCTGATTGGAGCTCCAATTTTCTGATACATGTGGTAAGCGTTACTATCATCTGTGTACGCAATGTACACTCGAATGATTTCATCATGCCCGGAATCGAGTAAAATCCATGCCTCACAGGACGCTGACTCCGGTTCTACGTGACAGGTGAAATAAAGGAGCCAAGAATTCGCTTCTCATGCAAATGGAGACTGTCAGTATGTTGTCAGACCTGTGGATTTTGAGCCGTTCGCTTCCAAACGGGAAATAATTTTGTAGAGAAATGTAAACAAATCGCCACATTATTATTAGAGGTGCGCTGATATATTTGTGTGTTCATCAGTTCCCAACTACGCGTAACACGAAGATGATGGAAAAGTTAAATCCATAAAAAGATACGTTACCCTCTCGGGTAAATTTTTCTGGATAGAAATGAAGCGTGGAATTCAGAAAGCGCGAATAGAACTGTGTTTGAATTCTAGTGAACCAACAAGTGTGAACAGATCATTGCAGTTGGTCGAGCTTCGTATACATCCGGGGAAACTTGGTGAAGATAGGTTCACTGATATCATGTTTATACAGTATTCAGTCAGTTTTCCTGGAACATTTACATACTCATGGAATTGTTGACCACGTGTCTAACCGATAATGTCCAAGTTTGTGCAGTCAGCATCATCTGTGTAAAGAAGGTTTGAGTAGCTTTGGCCGGACGAACTCGGCCGATACTGATTAATCGGCTGATTTTGGTCTGTTAGGAGGAAATTTTCAATGCAATTTTCATCCCTTAAGTAAGGCCACTCTAATATGAATAGCCGAGGACCAGCTGAGAATCATTTCACGAGACTCCGAGGAGATTCGAGGCTACTCAACATGTGACGTGAATTCCGTGGTTGAAGGATGAGTGGCGCAGTAGTCCGTCCTCGAGTTATCGGCACTATCGATCAGCCTCCAGCAGTCGAATGTCTTGGTTTTCGAGTTTGAGCCGGGAGGTTGCGAATTCGAATATTCTCGGAGGCGCGTGAAACGCGCAGCACTAATTACTCCCAACAAGATTGAAACGGATCAACAGTGCTTGTTAGAATAGATTAGATTTGTTTTTCTGGACGAAACCTCCATTTTGATTTATTGGTGAGAACATCATTAGACTTCTCCAAGACCCCAGCAGTTTGTAAGATGGATAGGATTCTATTCGGTTCCATTTTCCGAAAAAAATAGCCTCGATTTGTGAATGTTGTGTTTTTTTCGACATTACACAGCGGAGCTACCTTCCGTTGGGCAATTCATGATGTAAGACCGGTTAGGGCGTTGCTCGCCACTTTCTTACAGCACCGTAGGGAATGCGCAGGAATCGTTCGTTCACATTTCCTCACTGATATGTGCATAATCAGCCTTGACCTGGTAGACATGCGCACATACTGGTTGCACAAGCGCACTTATCCCCTAAAGCCACCTGATGAGACTTACCAAGCTGTACCATTTTAACTCGCCCGTATTGATTCACGATCTGCCTTCCTCGTTACCATGTCGAATAGCGGTCGGTGTCCAATAGGTATTCTTTCCCATAAACCCACTGTGCAGGCCTTGCTCTGGGAATGATATATCTTAGTAACTAGAAGTGTATAAAAAAGGAATTAATAATGGGTTTTCATTCTGTCCAAATGTTTGAAACGGAAGCACATTGTACGGAAGGCCACACGACCTTCTTTGATCCTATCGGACTGCTGATATCGCCTCAAAATGAGTATTCAATAATCCCGTCAAGCACTGATGGCTTTTCTGGAACAGATGAAAAGAACATACATATACTGCAGTTACACAATCTTCAGGAGTAATAAGTCATTTGTGAAGTAGTGTTGGTGTGTTTGCCTTGAACGTCACATGTTATGAAGTCGGGTCTCGGTACAGCTTACCGGAACTAATCTGAGCGAAATTCGATATTATGGCTTCCCCTGTTTTGTGAATACCCACCAGAATACTCATGTGGATACAGATTGGAAGTAGATGTCTGTCCTGCGAATAACTGTCATGTAACTTGCAAGTTTCAAATTAACTAGTCCACTGTTCATTTTCTGTGAAGTTTTTTTCCCACCATAAAGTTGGCGTGTTTTGAAACCTCCTACTCAGTTTGAGGGTAGTGCCTGTCGGAAATCAAACGAGATGCATGGGAAGCCTGATCCTGAATATTTTGATGACTGTAAGCTTTGGGTTTCGGAGAGGGTTACGTGAAAAGTAAAGTGACTCTGGAATTTCAGTGACAGATTCCACTTACAACTCATAGCAAACTAGAATGAAAAAACACCAAACACCGCGTGGCTATCTGTTCTCTACTCTTCCTGTAAGTCCGGACGGATCGGCCTTCCAGATAGCATCTGGAGGATAACTTTTGAGTTACTGATAACTTTTCAGTAGTGTGAATAAATCAGACTTTCACTGGGCGAGCAGCTCCGTTCTCGCGAGAAACATCAACGCACCACGTTGAGAATCGCTCCGGCTTGAGGATATCGGCTGTTTGACGGTTTCACATGAAACCACATCATTCAGGACAATGTCAGTTTGTGTGAACGGGATAAGTAAATGTGCTTCATTATCGCGTTTTTGAAAACTAAGTACAGTTGTGACCTTCAGGACATTCCACCAGACCGTCAGAAGCCAATTTGCACAATTACGAACCGGAACCGACAGTCATTGTGATTTTGCTTTTTTTGGCTTTCTTCGTCACCCAAAAATGTCCTGACAGATTTCTTCGAATCATATTCTGAGTATATCTCGGACTGATTGAATTACGTACACGTTTGCCGTACGCAAATAGCCGTTAGTTGTTCCACCAAAATTAAATAAGTCCCTAACACGATTACTGCCCTCATCAGCTACTCTATAACGTCTGGATTTTGCGCCTATACCTCCAGAACAATTTGGGTTCAGACTGGTTTCACCTAACCCCCGGTTTCATTTCTGAACTGAATGCCAGTCTTGAAATCAACTTTCCGACGTTGTTTTCAGTCCCACTCACGTTTTACTACGGCATCCTGTTCATACCTGCCTTTAACCTGTCAGCGCGCAGTACCTCTAACCTATTTGTTAGCATATGTTCAGATTGTGTGTCCATAAAATCCAGCATGCGAATATTGATCTTGTCTGTCAGCACGTGACTCATTCTATATTCAGGGTTGAACCGGTTGGTTGATAACGGAAAAAGAAGACCATGGTTTACGACAACAAACATCAAGCTGAATGGAGGAGTTTTTGAGGAGCAAAGGAACTGCCGTCCGCTCATTGTTTAAGATTGCGCGATGAAACTTGTCGTAACTGAATGTTTAGGCTTGCATTATAGGTGTGTTTTTGAAAAGTTTCTGCTTCCTCTTATGGAAGAATTGCTGTTTCTTGAAATATTGCATATCACACCTTTGTAAGCACCATGTGTTCCGCTAACTTTCGTTCACACGTCACCGGAAAAGAAACATGTAAATCCGGTTAGCAAAAAGGAACTAGTTAGAAAAAAGGATTGTCAAGTTACAACCATGTCAAGCTACTCATAAGTGATCTGAATGATTATGGCGAACCACTACCAATATCATCGTTTTTTGGGGCTTACCAGTAAGTGTGGTCACGAATGAACTCCAAGTTTCATGCAAATGGCGCCACTACACTCATTCCCTCAAAACAGCATGAAACTGGTAGTGGGCTTTCGAGTAGTTTTTGCAACTTTATGAGTAACACGCCCCAGGATAAATATGCTGCAAAATCTTGGATATCATTCGAACTGATTCCTATCACTGATTGAGCAAGAGGTACTGGATAGCTGCCCAATTTTTTCACACTCTAATTCAATCTGGAGCATATCCGTCTACACCATTCTTCTCCGATCGCATGGCTGGTGTTTGCCCTTTACTAAAATCTCGCCTGCAGAATTGTGGGACCCCCAGATGTCACATCCACATCAAGGTGTCATCTTAAAGTTTCTTTCTAACCGACATACAAATCATGTAAAAGACAACTTAGGGTAATACGAGTGAGACCGTGTATGAAATTTGAAATACTTCGGCGCAGCAATCAACTAAGTTTTGGTGTGATGGATTTTAAAAGCATATCTATGCTGGACAATGGGACGAGATGGCTGAAGTTGTTAGAGCGCGAATTTACTGACCGGAATGTCCGTGGTTCGAACCCGAACACTAGCTGTCGATTTCTCCTGTCTAGGATTGGGCAACCTGGCAGTATCCCAGCCTTCGTGCTTCCTTCGGGTGGCGTGGCAGCTAGGTACCGAAAGGACGTTACAACTGGACGGTTTTCATCATTTTTTGCTTTTGCTAGGCCACATAAACGCAGAAGAGCAGCCAGTCTGTTTTTCTAAACTCAACTGAGATCATTTGGAACAAGCCCACAAACGCAGTGTACAGTGACACCAAATTCTATGGCTTTTTTGAAACGTCATTGGAGAAGCAGAACAAAAAGACACCATCCATCAGACAACAAAATTGTTTTGAACGGATACTACTGAGAACAACTAGGTGTTGGTCGGGCCCGTTCGCTGCTTTTCACCAATCTGTTTTTCTCTTGTTGCAGTTTTGTTGACCAGCGTGATCATTGTTAACACTTCAATTACTCAAGACTTTATTGTGCCCGATTTCATCATCGACTCCGTCTTTTTATAAATTCATAAATAATTACAATCCTTTGAAGCGCCTTTCCTTGTCTCGGTGGTTTCTTTTGACCAGTCAGCCTGTCGTTGGAAACAATCATTCAAGGCTAGGCTGACTTTGACTGACGCATCTAGCGAGTACATTTATAGTGGGCAAAGTCAATAAACTAAGTCAGCTTTCAATTCGGAAGTCAGCCTGATAATTCTCAATCTGTCGGTGTGTGACTGCACTGTTTTTTCAAGTCTGGAATCCTTTCGGGTTGTTTGGGCAGTGACCAGTGAGTATTTTTGCCCGCGCTGATGTGAAATTTTTGGTGAAGGCTCTTTACAGAGTTTTTTTCAGGGAATGATTCTGGTCGTTTCCGACACCTTTCGTACACCTGAAGTTCTAAAAAGTGGTATTAAGTTGGTGAAGTGAAGATGTGAATAGTGTAATGGAGGTCCCGTCCTGTAAATGGAGCCAGTATATGCTAAAAAGCCTGAGACTACTCTTCAGCTGTTTCACTCGGTTTTGATGCCTCCAAATGTGCACATCGTACCAAACTCTAAAGTCTCGAACCCTTAACCTCCCGTTATTAGTTTGAATGCACAACCGTTTGGCCAGGGGCGGCTGATAAACAGCGTGATCGACTTGCATTTAGATAGGACACAGCGCCCCTCCAATAACGGAATCTTTATCACTTGGTCACAAATGTCGACATGCTCCTCGAGTGAAGGCTCCTCAAATAAAGTTTCACTCATTGGGTGAATTTCAGTCTTCTTCTCAGCCACATTTAACCCTTGGAAATGCGTGATTTGGGAATTCGGATCCTGTAGTTAGAAAATGAGTAGCGTTATCCTTCTGGGCCACTCGTCGCTGAGCGGCTAAGTCTTCAAGCTGCTAGGCAGGAGATCGTGAGCTTGAGACTCACTGGAGTTTCTCTAGGTGCGCACTGCTGATGCTGAAACAGTTGTACAGTGCTTCTCGGCTTTTCAACATAGATCGGCCTCACGGTGTTAGTCCTTCCTAAAACACCTACGTTACTGTTTATGAGAACCAACCTCCAATTAGAACGTTTCAGAACAAATCTACATCAACGCCATTCTTACCTTCGACTGATTTTGAGCCCCAGCGCCAACCTGGGCCCGGTTTTCTAACATAGTTGAAACGTGCCAGGTATTCATATACTTCGTGTCCGTTGGATTTATCTGAAAGAAAAGAACTAGTAACTTGTACAGTGTTCTCGGCTTTTCAACATAGATCGGCCTCACGGTGTTAGTCCTTCCTAAAACACCTACGTTACTGTTTATGAGAACCAACCTCCAATTAGAACGTTTCAGAACAAATCTACATCAACGCCATTCTTACCTTCGACTGATTTTGAGCCCCAGCGCCAACCTGGGCCCGGTTTTCTAACATAGTTGAAACGTGCCAGGTATTCATATACTTCGTGTCCGTTGGATTTATCTGAAAGAAAAGAACTAGTAACCAAAAACGTACCAAAGTGCATCAGATCATTTGGAATAACCTGTTCTGTCAGGACAATAATCTAGCATACGAAACGTATATGGATACACAATTGTGAAAAAAACGACAATTTGAAGATCTAAATGACACGCTAAAAACGGCTAGAGATGACGTAATTTTTGGATGAAAATAGGATAGCTGCAATGCCTCATCCCTACAAACCCTTCAGAGTGCAGTGATATTTTACCCGGTCTGATTTATGCGTATTCAAAGGACCCACAAAAGTCAGCGAGATACTGGCTCACAAGTATATGATTACCAGTGTACAGATGCGTCTCCTTAGACGCAGGGAGAGATCATGCGTAAAATTAACCATCTAATGTCAGTGTTGTGAGACGTTATTGAATGGTAAGCTTTACACCTTAAGGGAGCATCTGACAAGGCTGGCCAAATTTGATCGGTTCTGTAATGATCTAGCAAAGATAAGGAAACGGAAAAAGACCACTCATCGACCTCCGTCAGCCAAGTTGTAGTGTACAAGCATCCTGGGAAAGGGTAAGTTACCCTTCGCATGACTTATACAACTTTTTCGAAAGTATATCTCCCGGATTTAATACTGACCTTACATTCCGACAGAAGAGAACTTCACGCCTTCTATAAAGTCGCAATAAGAATTCAATTCTCCCGCTTTTTCACAAAAATTTTTCAATCTTATATTTAGTCCGTTTTCCTATGCGTAACAAAAACTAACAAGCATAGAAACACGAAGTCAGTGGGAATGGTTACAGAACACACGATGATTTTTGGACTGTATGCTATCCTAAAAGAAGTATCGGTAAATAAACCAGTCAATGTTTTGGGGTTCACACGTGTTGTTTTAACAAATTCGAATAGTGTGTAACTCATGTTCAGGAAGCCAGGTTTCAGCATGTCTGACACAAGAAGAGAAACCTATAGAGATTCTTAGCACAATGTTTGAGTATCAAGACCTATTCGATTTATTTCATGTGAGGTTCTTAGTCTTGGTTTAATCAATTATCCGTGTGATACGACAGGGGATCCACGAAATGGCTTTTTACGTTTAGTACAACTAGATTTACCAAATACGTTTCTTAAGTTGAGTTAATGCGGTTCGTGAATCCTAAAAGAGCGAAGCAGTTCTACTTTGTTTTTATTGGGGTTCTCTGGGCTTGCAAAGCTATTCTTATGCATTCATACGGTAAACTTTAATCGCCTGGATAGTCGGGGATATCTTGATGTATCTTTGTTCCTTCAACGTATCAAAGAAGTAGTCACCTTTTGAAGGTACCCTGGATGGCCTTATCATGGGGTATTCTCGCAAGAGTGGACCATACTAAAGAGGCAGTCGGATTTTCTATGTGAAGATAAATTATCGACCCATATTAACATGAGTGCTTCACCAAACAAGTCAGTATTTCTGTAAGTGCCTTGGATCCACCCTTGCAGAATTCGTTAAATTCAACAAAATACGCCAGGATGAAAAGAAATGGTAAGCTACTTACAGCATGCAAAGGTAAAATGGCATCGTTTATGCCTGGCCAGGGTGAATTATCCACAAAATAGTACTTTTATTAACTCTCGACTGTAAAATCCTTAGGAAAAAACCTTTACTTTTATGAGCGACTTTCGAAGAAAAATGAGGTCCGCCTTCAACTACCATCACCTGCTACTCAGAGATAGTTTTGTCTAATTTGATGAAGAATTGTTACAGAGCCTGGGAATTAAGAAAAAACGAGTATCACTAACTTAACCTATATTTCTGCTACTTTCTTGAGAGAAAAATCTACCCTACAAACTGTAGTGGTTATAAAAACAAGGCTTTAAAACGAAAAAATGCTTCCAGAATGCAAATGCCTTCCGTAGGAGACAAATAACGGAGTGGTCAATGGATAATTGGAAGATTTCTCTTAACTCCTAGATGACAATCACACGGCTTTCCAATTTTTGGATTAACTCAAAACAGGATAGGAATTAATTCAAGATGAGTTCTTTCATCTCATTAGGATGCACAAGCAACGTAACGCGACATGGTAAGTCCCGGTAGACTTGATGTGTCCACTAGTGGTTGATTGTGGGACTTTTGGGTTGCCCATCGAAGTTGGGAATTTACTTGCAAACGACTCGTTACCAGTGGAGAGCGCATCGGCAGTGACATAATCAGAGCGGACTTTATCGGGCTCACTCAATCACGCAATAATGGTGCCCCTCGACTGGTGACGAAAAGTATGGAGACCGACTACCAACCTCGGGAAACAGATCAAAGGCCACATGACAGACCCTGGGTACAAGGAAAATGAAAGTCCTTCGATAAAGGTTTTAGGAATAAAAAACCTGCTCGAATAATATGAATCAGAAAACAAACCAAAATTGAGTAAATTTGGATTAATTCTGAAAGTAGAGTTTTTTACAATAAAATTTTGCTATTTTGTGTGCGTTGAGCATGAAACTGTCAACCGGTTTTATTATAGCGGTGACCTGTACAAGGAGAGTGTTTTAAGTTGAAGGGGTTGATAAATTTATTCAATTGATTATTGCAGTGGATGAGATGTTATCTATGAACATGGCAATCATCCGAAAGGAAACCTCTTGAATAGAGGCCAATTCCCTAGACAGATCATAATATCGTAAGTTAATACTTTGTACGAAGTTGTGCACTGAAATGTCACTGAGATGCCAACTAGCCCCTCTGCACATATTTTTCTCTTTTTAGAGGCATTAATGTTGAACGAAGCCTTGAGGATTTTTCGGTTTCCCTTGAAACAACACCAAATGGGTGAAAATAAAATCTCAACTACTGTAGTCTCTGGTGTATTCCGTGAACTGTGCGATGTATTTGCTTTTTAGGTAACGTCATCTAACAATCTTTGACAACCGACGAGAAGAAAAATCAAATTCCATCAATCTCACAACGAGGAGAACTCTAAGATTAGAGGCTAAACCCCCTTGATGGGCTCTTCGAAGATATTTCCTGCCGCTGACGACCACATCTAGGAGATACTACACCGACGAGCGGCTACATGCCCTACTTCTTTACACTGGACGCTATTGATGGTCCGAAAAATATCGTTTATTCAGTCAGAGGTTTGGCAAGTACTACAAAAAGCAGCAAATCCCTCAGCGAAATTCTCCTTATACACTTAAATCAATAGATAAAAAGCGTTAGGTGACGTTGCCCAAAAGCTCACCTTGACCTTTATTCATTGGATCGGGTGAGTTCACCCATCTGCCACGCCAGTTATCCCCCTCCTTCCCGCAGACATGAACCAAAAGGATTATCAGTCCAAATGTACCTCTGAAGATGTGCATTGTCACTGATTTCAATGATGTAATGGAATTCCACTAGTGGAGGAGCAAAGTACGGTGAAAACTCTCGCACTCTGCTGATCTAGACGCATCTTAAGATTGGTTGGCTTAATCGTCGCTTATGATTGGCTGATGTGCGTAGGTGCAAACTAGCTGCATACTGTGCTCATTGGCTGGCCAATCTGTTGGAGTTTTCGATCAGTTTCTGTTAAGAATTGAACATTCCGAGATTCGACTGAATCCCGTTTGCACAACTAAGAACACTAGCCTTATTATTTTCTAGGTTCGAACAAAAACGCAATCTAATGTATGGTTTTACGGGCCCATGTAGCCAATGCAAAAACGGTTGAATTCAGTTGATAATAAAGCTTGTCCAAAAAACTACACCGAGTGACCACGTCACAAACCGTGGATTACTGATCCACGATAATCTCCCAGGGGACGAAATCCTCCATTTTCTGTCTCACATTGTACGCAATCCACAAAACGTTCTTTTCCACACTAATCTTGAGTTAACTGAAGCTCAGATGGACCTCCCGTTTGTGATGTTCTTTAACCGAATGCGCTGCGAAAAGCCGCCACATTCTTCAGCTTGTACGATGTTGGAGGTATCGCAGTACATTTTCTGAGCCAGAAAAGTACTGCTCACGACTGGTTTGATTCCATTTTGGTGAGGGAGGCGTCTCTTGAATATGGCAGTGCGTGTTTTTAAAAAATAATATCGTATGAGGCATTAGGCGCCGTTTGTGCAGCACAGTGAGCTGAAGAATGTCGTTAAACAGATTCAGATTGGATCCTGACAGGTCCTCGGTTAGCACCAACCCAATCTGCAAATGAGTGTATTTCACCAAGTAAAAAGGTACGTATTTGGGTCCGTGTTTTCAAAGAGATATATGGACAGATCAATAGCAAGCGTACGGAACAAATCGGTGAGGATACCCAACCAGGTCAGTTTCTTCACGTCCGTATCAGTATTAATGGGTGATTCTCGTTGGCACTGTCAAATTATCGGTAGCTCAGAGGAGTGCTCTAGCTGTTGATAGGGAATTTGCTGGCCTGTTTGCCGAGCTTGGTAACACTTGGATTCTGGCACATCTACTAAAACACATTAGTAATATAAGGCATGTGATCTGTCGTTGTTCCAGTAAAAAAAACGGATTTCTGAAAGGAATAAATTTTCAAATCACGGAATGTTAGCAATTGTGGATGTTCAAGAAATGCCTACGGTAACCAACAGAATGAACTTGGAGAGTATAAAATTTAAACATAAATTTATCACTTGACTGATATGGTAATGAGGCTTCTTCGCGTTCAAATCTTCTTTTCAAAATTGTTTCTCCGGAACTTTGCTTCCTATTTTCTCAAAACAAAGATTCTGCGAATCAGTATGTTCGGAATTGCTGACTGCTGGCAATTACAGGCTGCAACCAATCACTCTTTGATCTCATGCACTAGTACATTTGCAAACGACACTTGGCAGTGAATCAGTTTACGGCAGTTTGAACGAATATCAGACTCTAAACTGTACTACACTTCGGAGCAGACTCCATCGTGTTAAAATCTAGAGTCAGAGCATTCTGGCAGCGAACTTGATCACGAAAAGCCTGGAAGTTGGAAGTTGATATCCTCAGTTCGGTTGCAGAACAGAGTTGTTCTAAAATAAAAAGGGGTTTTTA